AATGCTAATAAGCCATAACTACACATATATCACCTGTCTCTTGAGCCTCCTCCCCTCCCCCATCTCATCCCTCTAGGTCATCACAGAGTGTCAGGCTGGGCTCCCTGTGTTGCACAGCAACTTCTCACCAGCTATCTATTTTACAAATTTGTTGTTCAGTTTCTCAGTTGTGTCCAACTCTTTGCAACTCCATGAATGGCAGACTCATCAGGCTTCCCTGTCCTTCACTATCTCCCAGAGTTTGCTCAAACTTATGTCCATTAAGTCAGTGATACCAGCCAACCATTTCATCTTCTGTTGCCCCCTTCTCCTCTGCCCTCAAACTTTCCCAGCATCAGGGTCCTTTCCCAGACTCGGCTCTTCACATAGTAGTGTATATTGCAGGCTCAGTTCCACTGACTGTGGGATTGTGGTTTTCTTGCTTCTGCCATCTGCCGCCTGGTAGATGAGTCTGGTCTAGCGGTTTGTGTAGGCTTTCTGGCAGGAGGGGCCAATGCCTGACCACTGATGAGTGGAGCTAGGTCCTGGCCCTCTAGTGGGCAGGGCCAGGTCAAGGGGTGTGTCTAGAGGTGGCTCTGAGCTTAAGAAATCTTTGGACAGCCTGTTTGCTGATTGGTGGGGCTGTATTTCCCCCATTTGGTTGTTTGGCCTGAAGCATCCCAGCACTGGCTCCTACCAACTGTTGGGTGGGGCCAGAATTTGGTGTTAATGACCTAAGCAAGATGTCAGCCTCCAGTGAGAGTTCATGCAGATGAATACTCCCCAAAATATCCACCACTATGTCTATTCCCCAGAGTAAGCTACAGCTGTGCCCCTCTTATGTTCCCAGGGGACTTCCAAGACCAGGAGGTAAGTCTGGCCCAGGATCCTATGAAGTTACTGCTTTGGCCGTCAATACTGGTACACATGAGATTTTGTGCACACCCTTTAAGAGTGAAGCCTCTTTTTCCCCAGTCCTGTGGAGCCCCTGCAATTTAAGCCCCACTGGCCTTCAAAGTCAAATAATTTAGGGGCTCCTCTTCCTGACACCAAACTCCCAGGTTGCAGAGATATGGGATTCAGAACTCTTACTCTTGTGGGAAAACCTGTGCAATACAATCATTCTCTAGTTTTTGGGTCAACCCCTCAGGGGATTTTGGACTTGATTATATCACAAGTGTGCCCCTCCTACCATCTCACTGTGATTTCTTCTTTGTGTCTTTAGTTATAGAATATATGTTTAGTAGGTCCCAGTCCCTTTTATTGATGGTTGTTTAGCAGATAGTTGTGGTTTTGGTGTGCTCATAAGAGGAGGTGAGCAAGGTTTTTCTACTCCACTATCTTGTAAGCAATCTTCCTGAATTTTTTTCTTAAAAATGTGACTGTTCAATTGAAGATGAATGATTGATATCATTTATCCCAGACATATCTTACGGTATCTCCTCTCAGGTTTTGTTTCCTGTCTTAGTACCTTCTTCTGTTGTAAGGGGTGGGGGTCGTGTAAAACACTATTGCCTTTTATTGGCCTTTGAGATGGGCTTTGAATCCTATAGTTTCAACTTGTCAGAGATATGAGTCATTTTGAAAACTATGGATGTGTTTCAAATTTTTGTCCTTTTCCTTCCTGACATAGTGACTTGGTTTTTTTTCCCCATTTATTTTTATTAGTTGGAGGCTAATTACTTTACAATATTGTAGTGTTTTTTTTCATACATTGACATGAATCGGCCATGGATTTACATGTATTCCCCATCCTGATCTGCCTTCCCACCCCCCTCTCCACCCGATCCCTCTGGGTCTTCCCAGTGTACCAGCCCTGAGCACTTGTCTCATGCATCCAACCTGGGCTGGTGATCTGTTTCACCCTAGATAATATACATGTTTTGATGCTGTTCTCTCGAAACATCCCACCCTTGCCTTCTCCCACAGAGTCCAAAAGTCTGTTCTGTACATCTGTGTCTCTTTTTCTGTTTTGCATATAGGACTTGCTTTTAAATGAATTGGTTCTTTATTTTTTTTATTTTCTGCTGAGTATGGACAATGAAAGGGTTAATCCTATTTATGTAGTTTACTCTGTTATCTAGTCATTATGTCATCTCTTGTTGTTCAGATGCTAAGTCATATCTGATTCCTTGTGACTTCATGGACTATAGCATGCCAGTCTCCTCTATCTTCCACTATCACCTTGAGTTTGCTCAAATCATGTGCAATGAGTTAATGATGCTATCCAACCATCTCATCCTCTGTCATCCCCTTCTCCTTTTGCCTTCAACCTTTCCCAGCATCACGGTCTTTTCCAATGAGTCAGCTCTTTGCATCAGGTGACTGAAGTATTGGAGCTTCAGCTTCAGCATCAGTCCTTCCAATGAATATTCAGGACTGATTTCCTTTAGGATTGACTGGTTTGATCTCCTTGCTCTTATTTCTTCAACCAGCAATGAGCATTTTCTGCAATTCCAATCTACATATGCTTTAAATGAATTTTTCTGATGATCCTATGATTCTAACTGAAGTTTCGCATCTTCATTTGTTATTCAATTTTCACCATTATCATTTGCATAATTTATCCTGCCATTCCAGTCTATGTATACAGATCTTTTCTGTAAAATAAATTTTTATTAATAATATACTTTAGAAGTTTATGGTATATTTTAGAAAACTGTTGTGCTACCTTTATCCAAGATAAGCTCAGGTGATATTATTAGAGCCCACTTCACCTGCCTTTTAATATTTTATTTCCCTTCCTTTCATTTCATTGTATAGAAATTATAAGATTTTCTTCACTGGAATTGTATAACAATATCTTCATTTTTCCCATGAGGAAAATTGGGTTAGAAGGCATAAAAATTCAGGAAGGTTATTATTTAAGAGACATGAATGAGTATCAATAGATGGTTAAGTCTAGAGAATATAGGAATGATGGGGAAAGGAGGAAGCAGTGAAATTAGCATCACCAAAGAGGTTTCTTCAAAGAATGTAGGAAAAGCACATATGTACTTTTATATCATCATTGTTGTTTAGTTGCTAAGTTGTGTCCAACTCTTTTGCAACCACATGGACTGTAGCCCACCAGGCTCTTCTGTCCATAGAGTTCTCCAGGGAAGAATACTGGATGGGGTTGCCATTTTCTTCTTCAGGGAGAGAATCTCCTGCAGCAGATTCTTTACTACTGAGCTACCAGGGAAGCTCTGTACTTTTATATAGATATTATATAAAAGCTTAAAACTTATAACATGCAAGAATGCCCAAGATACTTTTTACAACACATGAATTCTAGACAAGAGCTTATCCCTTTAACTGTATATGTAGGTTTTTTAAAGGACTTCAATAAAACCTGAAAGTGAAGTGAAAGTGTTATTCACTCAGTCATGTCTCACTCTTTATGACCCCATGGACTGTAGCCCACCATGCTTCTCTGTCCATGGAATTCTCCAGGCAACAATACTGGAATGGGTAGCCATTCCCATCTCCAGGGAATCTTCCCCACCCAGGGATGAAACCTGGGTCTTCCTCATTGCATGCAATTCTTTATCATCTGAGCCACCAGGGAAATCCCATAAAGCCTAGAGTTACATTATAGGAATAAGATTAAAAAGAAACTGCTTAAAGAATGATCTTCTAACATTTTTCTCATGTAATACTAGCATTACTTTATCTCCATTAACTCATATTTTATTATAAGTCCCTTCAAATACATGAATATAAAATAAACATTAATTTATTTTGTTAATTTTCTGCTTACTTATAAAATATTTATGTGCTGATAAATAGTGTACTTATATGTAAGTTAATAGGAATGGAAGTTTCATTAGAGTCCTAACTTCAATTCTTTGAACTTCTTCTGAGGTACATGATAAAATTGATAGTGTGAGTTTATCAAATCTAATTCTAAAAGTTCTCTCAACTGAAAACTCAATTAAATTTCATTGCACTATTATTCAATGTAAATAGAAACCATCAGACTTCAGAAAAGATTGTCAGTTCAGTTCAGTTGCTCAGTTGTGTCAGACTTTATGACCGCATGAACTGCAGCACACCAGGCTTCCCTGTCCATCACCAACTCCCACAGCTTGCTCAAACTCATGTCCATCGAGTCAGTGATACAATCCAACCATCTCATCCTCTGTCATCTCCTTCTCCTCCTGCCTTCAACCTTACCCAGCATCAGGGTCTTTTCCAAAGAGTCAGTTCTTCCCATCAGGTGGCCAAAGTATTGGAGTTTCAGCTGCAGCATCAGTCCTTCCAATGAATATTCAGGACTGATTTCCTTTAGGATGGACTGGTTTGATCTCCTTGCAGTCCAGGGGACTCTCAAGAGTCTTCTCCATCACCACAGTTCTAAAGCATCAATTCTACGGCACTCAGCTTTCGTTATAGTCCAACTTTCACATCCACATATGACTATTGGAAAAACCATAGCTTTGACTAGTCATACCTTTGTTGGCAAATTAATGTCTCTTCTTTTTAACATGTTATCTAGGTTGGTCATAACTTTTCTTCCAAGAAGCAAGCAAGCAGCTTTTAATTTCATGGCTGCAGTCACCAAAGAATGTACTCAGACATTGTAGTCATTTGCTTCCTTAATGGCTATGACATCTTCTAAAAAGATACTCTCAGGACTTAGTGTTTGTTGACTACAATTCACACAAATTGTTTCACTTAAAGACAACTGCTTTAATTTGACATAGAAAGACTTGCAAAACTCAAAATCAGTTTCAAAATGCTACTATGAAGATAACGTTTGTTATGGAATTATTTTATTCTTTTATTAAATATGTATTTTGTCCAAATCTTCAGTTATGAATGTCCTTAATAATGTTCATAAAATATGTGTGGGATAAAATCCTAGTTAGTTTTTCTGCCCTAATCATCATCATTCTTCTTTATTTATTCAACCGGGGAAATTCACTTACTTTTCTCAGTATTTGAAGATAAAACTGTGCTTCCTTGGCTGTTTTATTTTATTTTTTTTTTTTCAGGAGTTTTTGTTTGTTTGTTTCTAATCACATTCATCCTTCCAGTTTACTATGAAATGGAAATTTTCTACTCATTTTCATTTTCTATATTGGTTTCTCTTGATATTTACATGAGATTTCCATTTTATTTTTCAGAAGATCTTCAGAAAGAAATTGGTAACTTTTTTCTGACATTCTTTTTTGCTGATATATTTCTTTGAAAACAAACTTCCCATCACTTCCTGTCTCATTACCTCTTACTCACTCCTGTCTTGCCTTTTTCTTCTTGTGGATTTCAAATTACCCTATCTGTTGTTTTTTTTTAGCTTCCTGAACTCATTCCATGTTAAGTTCCCTTTTCATTCTCTCAGCTTTTCTTCCCTTCCTTTCCTTTCTATGCTTTATTTTTAGGCTTCTTCTATTAATATAGTCCAGGTGATTGCTGGAATTTTACAGTAATTCATTTTACAGTAGTTAGTTTTACAGTTGGTGAGATAAAGGAAATTAAGCTAAGAATGATCACAGAAAGTTTCTTTTAATTTGGGTTCTTCAACATGTGCTCTGATATGGAGTGCCCATTGTTTTATACATGATATTGTGCTTACTTTTATGGGAAAGTTAAACTCCAAACTAGCTGAGTGAGATAAATTCCTTTTTTTGTTTGACCTGTATATTATGCTATATATATTGATGTCAAGTTAATCTTAAGATTTCCTAGTTCATTTCTCTTGACTATATTCTCAAGTGATTTAAGGTGTATAAATATTTTTTGCATGACTTTGCCTGATTTTTTTCCAACCATAATTATTGTTCTTTTATTTTTATTTTCATCTTTTCAATCATTAATACTTCAAGGTCTTTATACATACATTTTTTTTTTCACTCAAATAAACTTCATTGTAAACCTAAAATCTAAAGTTATTTTCCAAGTTATTCCTACACTAATTTGGTACTATATCATAGGAATTATTAAACTCTCATGTCCCTACATATCAAATTATATTCTTCAAATTGTAGGAAGATTATCAGATGCAGTAGGCTTCAGAGATTTCTTTAGTTGCTTTTAAAATGGACATTACTTGGTCAACTTTCAGACACTACTAGCATTGGCACATGTATGTGCACATGTATAACTTTACTTGAATTTTTTTTTATGACGTTAAGAAAACATTTTTTAATTAATTAGTTAACATTATATATGTGTATATATACCTGTTTGTTTTCTCTCAGATAGGAGGAAGGCTCAGTTCAAATTAGGTGAGTAAAGCTTATTTCCCAGAAACCTTTATTCCTCTAAATCTCAGATTCTTCTGCTGTAGAAGTTGAATAGGATTTAGAAATGCAACAAAAATGCTTATAGTAGGCAAAAAGCATTTGAAGAGTTATCTTGCTAAATTCTAGTAATTTCAATTAATTATTTTCAAAAGACAAACCACCAGTGATTCAGCATGTTCTTCCTTCTCTCCCCTTCCTTCCTTAATTTACTTCATGTCCTCTCCTTCCCACTTCCCCTTCATCCCTCCCACTGTTTATTGCTTCTATGTTTTTATCTACCCTCCATGTGATCATTTTTATCACTGTGTTTTCTAAAAATGGATTATGAGAATATAGGGTAAAAAGAGGAAGTACAAAGAACTCAGAAGAAAATTTATGACAAAGACAAGGAGAAATGAAAAAGACAATGAGAAAAAAAAATGGAAGAAAAAAAGTAAAGTTTCCTATTTTGGTTTTTGCAGGCTGGAGGGAGTCAACATTATACCCTGGTGAGTGACACGGATTCTGATAAAAAACTGTCCTATTGCAAAATATATTTTAAGTGAATACCTACTGCATGCAAAACAATACAATAAAAATTAAAGAAACTCCAAAATATGCATTTTATGAACTCAATATATTACTTAGTATTTTAAAAGATAATAATGTATTTAAAATATTAAATTTTAGCAATTTGACCATTATTATTTTCTATTTGATTTTTTAATAATTGAGTCATAGTTCAGTTCAGTTCAGTTCAGTCACTCAGTCGTGTCCGACTATTTGTGACCCCATGAACTGCAGCACGCCAGGCCTCCCTGTCCATCACCAACTCCCAGAGGCCACCCAAACCATGTCCATAGGGTCGATGATGCCATCCAACCATCTCATCCTCTGTCGTCCACTTCTCCTCCTGTCCCCAATCTTTCCCAGCATCAGGGTCTTTTCAAATGAATCAGCTCTTCGCATCAGGTGGGCAAAGTATTGGAGTTTCAGCGTCAACATCAATCCTTCCAATGAACACCCAGGACTGATCTTTAGGATGGACTGGTTGGATCTCCTCACAGTCCAAGGGATTCTCAAGAGTCTTCTCCAACCCCACAGTTCAAAAGCATCAATTCTTCGGTGCACAGCTTTCTTTATAGTCCAACTCTCACATCCATACATTACCACTGGAAAAACCATAGCCTTGACTAGACAGAACTTTATCGGCAAAGTAATGTCTCTGCTTTTTAATATGCTGTCTAGGTTGGTCATAACTTTCCTTCCAAGGAGTAAGCGTCTTTTAATTTCATAGCTGCAATCACCATCTGCAGTGATTTTGGAGCCTCAAAAAATAAAGTCAGCTGCTGTTTCCACTGTTTCCCCATCTACCTGCCATGAAGTGATAGGACTGGATGTCATGATCTTATTTTCTGAGTGTTGAGCTTTAAGTCAACATTTTCACTCTCCTCTTTCACTTTCATCATGAGGGTCTTTAGTTCTTCACTTTCTACAAGGCATAGTTGGCTTACAATATTACATTAGTTTCAGGTGTACAACATAGTGACTTCAAAATTTTATAGGCTATACTCCATTTAAGTTATTATAAAAATTGGCTATATTCCCCATGAGAGAAAGAAAGGGACGTCACTCATTCATGTCCAACTCTTTGTGACCCAGTGGACTGTAGCCTAGCAGGCTCCTCCATCCATGGGATTCTCCAGGCAAGAGTACTGGAGTGGATTGTCACTTCCTTCCCCAGGAGATCTTCCCAACCCAGAGAAGCATATTCCCCATTATATCCTTTAGATTTATTTATTTTATACATAGTAGTTTGTACCTCTAAAACCCTAATATTGTTCCTCCCCTCTTTCCTCTCCCCATTGATAATTACATTTGCTCTCTATATCTGTAAGTCTGTTTCTGTTTTGTTACATTCACTTTTATTTTTTAGATTCCACATATAAGTGATAACATACTCTATCTTCCTCTGTCTTACTTATTTCATTAATAGTAATACCTTCCAGGCCCATCCATATTGTTGCAAATGTCAAAATTTCATGTATGGCTTTATATATACACAGACACACAAAGGAACAGTTTTCAGTATGTGTGTATATATATATATATACATACATACATACAGAGGAACAATATTTAGTCATTTGTAGTATATGTACTAAATATATAAATATGTATATATACTAAATATATAAATAAATACTATATATACATATATATACTAAATTCAGGTGTAGTATGAACAATTGGGTGCATGTACCTTTTCAAATTTGTGTTTTTAATTTTCTTTGGTTATATACCCAGGTGTGGAATTGCTGGATCATATGGCAGTTCTATTTTTAGTGTTTTGAGGAGCCTTTATACTATTTTCCCCTAGTTTACATCCATCAACCATTTACAGTGTTTCCTTTTCTCCACATCCTAGCCAACATATATTATTTGTTTTGTTATTTTTTAATTGACATCTCAGATCATGCTTTGAGGATAAGTAAAAGATTATCACCTATGAAGTCTGAGGAAACTACAACAAAAAGAATTTACTTGGTCAGACATATCATAATCTCTATTTCTTTTCCAACATCTTAAATAGATTATGGACACTTATCCTATGGGAATGTTGGTTGAAGAAATCAGTTCTTAAAGCCAGACATAATTTAACAGACTGAAAAGAGGTGCAAGTATATCAAAGAATATTTTCTTTGGATATTATCACTCATAAATTAATCCTTGAGAATTTATACTCATAATCTGAGCAGATGGATATATTTATCTATCAGATGGGGCTTCTCACATTCATATGTTCCTTGCAGATTGGAGGAAAGAAGAGTTCCAAGCTGGTAAGTATTATGGTCCAGGAGGGACCCCGCTCCTTGTGGGGTAAGAAAGGAAGACGGGTGAAGATGACTTGGATCTTCCCAGGGCCAGAAAAGTTCTCACAGAATGGGGACCCTCTGGCCCAGGCCTACTGAGACTCTTTCCATAAACATGATAGTCTAATTGTTTTTGCAGTAAATGTGACTCTTGATGAAGCCACTGCTCACCCCAGCCTCCTCCTGACTGAAGAGGGGAGAGGAGTAACCTTGCAAGAAATACAGCAAGATCTACCCAGCTCCACACAGAGATTTGTCTCCCTTCCCTGTGTGCTGGGTCAGCCACAAATCTGTGCGGGGAGATACTACTGGGAGGTGGAAGTTGGGGACCTGCATTCCTGGGACCTGGGAGTTTGTAGGGATAATGTATCAAGGAAGGGGACTTTCCAAATGTCCCCACAGAATGGTTTCTGGGCCATTAGACTCTACCAGGAGGATTACTGGGCCCTTACCATCTCAGAAACTCATCTTACTCTAAGAGAAAAACCCCTTAGTGTGGGGATATTCCTGGATTATGAGGCTGGAGATGTATCTTTCTATAATATGACAGATGAATCCCACATTTTCACATTTTCCAAACAGACATTTTATGGTGTCCTAAGACCACTTTTCAGACTTTGGTCCCCTGGCTCTGGCCCCTTGACCATTGTCCAGGTGGAGTAGAACACACTAATGTTGTAATTCATGTGCCTACACCTCCATGAGAAATTACTGCATTGGGCCCAAGTGATCATTATAATTCTCCCCACTGGCCACAAATTGATTTTTTTCCCCTCCTGCATACTGGTTCATTCTCAAGGTGAAGTTCTATGAGACTAACTGATTGTTGCCTCTCATGTCATTTCTTTCTTTTTCCTTAATCATAAACTCCTACTATTACTATGCCTGTGACAACCTAGTATAAAGATTAAATTTCCTACATTACCAGCTGAATGTCACTAAATGATGACCAGTGCCTTATAAGATTAATTATTCTGTATAATTTCTGGGATGTTTCTTTAAAGGAAAACTGTGTGCTTTTCTTATTCTGTTTACTTTTTATGATGCCTGAAATCTATAATTAATGAAACATCTGTGACCATGTAAAAGTCATGGATAGCAGACAAGATACAGTGGCTTAGGTTTTTGATAACTTGTGTAACTACTTTATTACTCAGTTCCTAAATTATCTTCAGTGAGAAATAAACTGTTATCTCTCTAAGCTTTTTATACTTTGAATTTTTGTCATTTATATTTGAACTCAATCCTAGCTAGTATACCCTCCCTTTAAGGATGGCAACAGATGACACCCACAGTTGAAAATTTAAGTGAAATAGTAGGCATAAAGTCCTGTAGTTAATTTCTTAGCAACTCCTACTCCTCCATTGTATGAGTCAAGTTAGGGTCTCCCAATTTCTCCTGACTCATCAGACCCTCCTGACTTCACTTCCTACTCTTTCCTATTTAAATGCCATGATTAACAATTTTAGGGATTCTTTTACTAATAAGTGAAAATTCCTGATCTCATTGTCCTTTTTCACATCTGCTTGGAAAGAAATCCCAAAATGAATGAATCTATTATTCATTTCTCATACTGGAGAAATGTTCATATAGTTGACACAGATGAGTAGAATGGTTACTCTATAGTAACCATTGTGTTACATTGTGTAGTTACTCTATAGTAACCATTGTGTTACATTGTGTAGTAACCTATCACAACTTGGGCAGTAGCACTGTTGGTGGCAATCCTCTATCTGGCAATCTTCCCATGTGTCTCCAGTCATTTACATTCCCTTGCCTTTGCAGTCAATTTCATTAAAAATTCCACTTTTTAAAAGTTCTAATTCTACTCCCACCTAATTCTCAATATAAGACTGCATTTCCGTTTTGAAAGAATAGTAATGATAATAACAAATAGAATCAGTCAGAAGGGAATTGCCTCATCTTTGTAATGACAAATATAGCAAACTTATCTAAATCTCCCAACTCTGCAATACTCCTCCCTCACTGTTACATTAAGAGAAATATCCCTCTTCCTTTACAGAACACCAACCTATTTCTTCTCTGTACCCATCTTTCCATCCTGTGTCTTACATGGTACTGAGGTCCATCAATTATTCCTCTCAGTGTTCCTACTAGTTTTTCTACCATAAACTTAAAAATTTTAAATCTTGTCCATCTTAAAATCAAAACAATGCAATTTTCCATCAACTCTACATCTTCTTATTAACTCTTCTGACTCTCTTGCATAATCAAACTTCTCAAAATACTTATCTAAAGTCTCTATTTATATTTCCCTTGTTTTTATTTCCTTCTTAGTATATTCTATGATATGTAAAGCCTCACCTCCAGTAACTCACGATGTGACCTTATTTGGAAATAGGGTCATTGTAGATATAGTTAGTTAAGATGGCATAGAACAGGTCCCTAAATCAACATAACTGTTGTCTTTATGAAAAGGAAAAATTTGGACATAAACATGCACAGAAAGAACAGCTTTTGAAGACTGGAGCTTGCTGTCACAAGGCAAGGAAGGTCCAAAGCTGCTGGCAAACCACCCAAAGTTTAAAAATAAAGGCTTGGAACCAATCCTTTCCTAGCACCTTCAGAGGAAGCATCACCATGCCAACATCTTGAACTCAGATTTCTGGCCTCCACAATGCTATTACAATAACTTCCAACATTTAAGCTACTCAGCTTGTGGTATTTTGTTGTGGTATAGTAGCAGGTATAGCAAACAAATACAATTCTCTTTTGTTAAATACAACCTGCTCATTTCCTTTCTTTAATAAAGTAATCTCAAAGTAAACACTTTGCTATGGAAATTCTAAGGGATTTCTACATTTACATAAATTTCATGTCATGATTGAAAATCAACATAAAGAAAATGTACTTTAAATAAAGTAAGAACTGTGAAACTCTTATAAATCCATACAAGGTACTTAATTCTGTGATGATTCTTAGAAAAATGTTTGTTGAGATGTTATTTGCATACAATACATTCATTAAACTGTTCATTCATTTTAAAAATCAACTCAATACTTTTTAACATATTTACATGGTTGGGCAATCATTACTGATCCAATCGCAAAGGATTCCATCTCCCCAAAAGACCTCTTGCTTTCGTTTTCAAATAATCGTTGTTCCCAGGCCCAGGAATCTCTAGTCTATTTTCTCTATATATAGATTTTCCTTTTCTGGATATATAATATCCAGTTGCAGTCATATAATATATGGTCTTTTATGTCTGGCTTCTTTCACTTAGCATAATATCTTAAACACACACTTTTGCATATTTCAGTGGTTTGTTTATTTTTTATAGAATTCCATTGTATGGATATACCACATTATGTTTATTCATCCTCCAATCTAAAGGCATTAGAATGCTAACATTGTGAAATCTTATAAACAATGGATATTAGGTGAGTGAGGGGGCTGACTGCGGACCACTCTTTCAAAGAAACATTGATTGTAAAAAGTAGAAGGAAATCAGTTCAGGTCAGCTTAGTCTGTCAGTCTTGTCAGACTCTTTGTGACCCTGAGGACTGCAGCATGCCAGGCTTCTCAGTCCATCACTAACACCCGGAGCTTGCTCAAACTCATATCCATCAAGTCGGTGATGCCATCCAACCATCTCATCCTCTGTTGTCCTCTTCTTCTGCCTTCAATCTTTCCCAGCATCAGGGTCTTTTCCAATGAGTCAGTTCTTCACATCAGTTGGCCAAAGTATTGGAGTTTCAGCTTCAGCATCAGTCTTTCCAAAGAATATTCAGGACTGATTTCCTTTAGGAAGGACTGGTTTGATATTCTTTCAGTCCAAGGGACTCTCAAGAGTCTTATCCAACACCACAGTTCAAAGCATCATTTCTTTGGCACTCAGCCTTCTTTACGGTCAAACTCTCACATCCATACATGACTACGGGAAAACCACATCTTTGACTAAACAGACCTTCATCAGCAAAGTACTGTCTCTGTTTTTTAATACACGTCTAGGTTGGTCAAAGCTTTTCTCCCAGGGAACAAGCGTCTTTTAATTTCATGGCTGCAGTCACCATCTGCAGTGAATTCGGAGCCCAAAAAATAAAGTCTGTCACTGTTTCCATTGTTTCAACATTTATTTGCAATGAAGTGATGGGACCAGATGCCATGATCTTAGTTTTCTGAATGTTGAATTTTAAGCCAGCTTCTTCACTCTACTCTTTCACTTTCATCAAGAGGCTCTTTGGTTCCTCTTCACTTTCTGCCATAAGGGGGGTGTCATCTGCATATCTGAAGTTATTGATGTTTCTCCCAGCAATCTTGATTCCAGCTCGTGCTTCATCCACCCCAGCATTTTAAATGAGGTACTCTGCATATAAGTTAAATAAACAGGGTGACAATATGCAGCCTTGATGAACTCTTTTCCCAGTTTTTAACCAGTCCATTGTTCCATATCTGGTTCTAATTGTTGCCTCTTGAGCTGCATACAGATTTCTCAGGAGGCGGATAACATGATCTGGTATTCCAACCTCTTGAAGAATTTTTCACAGTTTGTTGTGATCCACATAGTCTAAGTCTTTGGAGTAGTCAGGAAGCAGAAGTAGATGTTTCCCTGAATTGTCTTGCTTTTTCAATGATCCAGTGGATGTTGGATATTTGATCTCTGGTTCCTCTGCCTTTTCCAAATCCAGCTTGAACATCTGGAAGCTCTTGGTTCACATAGTGTTGAAACCTTGCTTGGAGAATTTGAGCTTTACTTTGCTAGTGTGAGATGAGCACAATGGTGTGGTAATTTGAGCATTCTTTGGCATTGCTTTTCTTTGGGATTGAATGAAAACTGACCTTTTCCAGTCATCTGGCCACTGCTGAGTTTTCCAGATTTGCCAAAATATTGAGTGCAGCACTTTCACAGCATCATCTTTTAGGATTTGAAATAGCTCAACTGGAACTCCATCACCTCCACTAGCTTTGTTCGTAGTAATACTTCCTATGGCCCACTTGACTTTGCA